CCCTTATAAAAAGTGGTGGGGTGGGGGGGGGGGGGGGGGTGTATATATGCATACAGTATATATATATATATAAAATAAATTATATGTAAAACCTATATGTAAAAATTCAAATGTGTAAAGATGTTTATTGAAGGTTTTACTTGATGGTTACATCACATTGACACATAGATTTTTCAGCATTATCAGCATTATCTGTGTTTTCTTGCTTAATGCATAGCTATGCATGCAAATCGACATTAAATATTATTTGGATATAATTTATTTCGTTTTTAATATATTTTTATTTTATTTTAATATATTATGCAAAAAGAAAGAGACCGTGGAGTAATACAAGACTTGAATTTGGTCTGATCAGAATCAAGTACTCTGGAAAGCCCATTTATCTGTCTACATGTTTAGCTCTACTTGTGAGGGCCAGCCTTTTAAAAATATCCTCAAAAATATAGCAAAACAAATCAAATGAGAACATTTGAAGTTGTTCTCCCTAGCTGAAATGCCCTTAAATCAACCAAACCTCCTTTTGGGATGCCCTCAAAAAGAAAAGTGTTTCATAAATAAACTAAATAATTCTTTATTTTAAAATGCAAAAAGTTTTCTTTTAGCCAAGGGATACTGCATTTGTGTCCGCATATAAGCGTTTATTTACTTTGAGCCAAATTCTGTCTCGAGTAAAATGCCTTCACAGATTTCACTCTCTTTCACTGTCCTTAAATTATTCAGCAGACAAAAACATCTCAAACATTTATAAGCCCATTCTTAGAGGGACGCATGAGAAGTGTGACCTCCCTGTTTGGCATAAAGGACTGACTCAAACCGAGTTGAGATTATGGATCAAAGTATAAAAACACCACAGCAGCAAACGTCTCTTCAGCGGCATTCACACAGTCATGATCCAGGAATTAAACCGAAAAAAAGTCTTCCAGCAATAGCATTACAGAAATGACAGGAATCAAGCCTGTATAGAGCAGATCAGCTTTAAAATATATATTATATGGGGAAAAAAGCATTGCTGTCAGGACAAATTTATTTTCTATTATTCCCTTTCCACATAAAAATAGGTAAAGAGAGAACTATCAGGGACAGGATAGAGATCCAGAAAGTGCTGCTTGCAGAAAATGGTAATGATAAGGCAGAGAGTTGGTGAGATGGTGGTAAGCTGAGCGTGTCATTACGCATTCATTGAGATTAGGTTATGTCATCTCTTGCTCTCTTATAAAAGAGCCAATTAAAGAGAAAGAAATGAGGATGGAAAGAAAGCGCTTACAGTGAATGAATACCATCTGATTGCAGTAACCGCACTGCCGCTGTTGGACATTGAGGGCAAGCAGATTGGTTAATTGAAAGTGATCTGCTAATGAGGTAAATTGACTACATTACCCACGTCTGCCTGTCTCTCAGGGATGGCACAATGGGGGCTGAGTTTCTCATGCTGACTGTAATGGTCTCAATTATGTGGTTGTCTGAAACAGTGTGTCTCTGTGGCTGAAAGGTTAAGGACTCGGGCTGTTTCTCTTCTAATGAACCTCCTCCCCGAACTGTCAAACAGCACCCCTCTACCCCACCCCTTCTATCCTCTGCTCTTAGACTTCTTCTCTTCTGCTTCTTTTGTAAAGTAATTTTGCAGCCCCTCTCTCACTTCATGTCATCTTCACTGGGGGATGTACTGTGGAAAGTAGGAAGGAAGGAAGGAAGGAAGGAAGGAAGAATGAAATAAAGTTAAAATGAAAAAAGGAGAGAAGAAGAAGAAAATGATTGATGACTGAACAATTGTGGGAAGGATTGAAAAACTACATGAAGGATGGTTTGAATGAATGAATGAATGAATGAATGGGATAGATAGATAGATAGATAGATAGATAGATAGATAGATAGATAGATAGATAGATAGATAGATAGATAGATAGATAGATAGATAGATAGATAGATAGAAAAAAGATACAATTAAGTCAACCAATGAATGAGTGAATGATAGAAAGAATGGAAGGAAGGAAGGGAAGGAAATAAAGAATGACTGAGAGAAGGAATGAAGAAACAGATGAGTGAATGATGCAAGGAAAGAATTAATAAAGGATATAAGTAAGAATTGAAGCAATGAATGAAGGATGGATAGAAAAAGGAGTGAGTAAATTAATGAATGAAGGAACGACTGAAATATTACATTTTGGATGGATGGATGGAAAAATTTAAGGAGCAAATTAAAGAATAAATAATGAAAAATGAAAAGAAAGGACGAGGGAGGAATGAATGATGCAAGGAAGGAACAAATAAAAGATTAATAGAAGGAGAGAGTATAGAATGAAATCAAGAAAGAAGGAGGGAAGAGGATTTAATGAATAAAAGGACTGAACCAGTGAATGAATGCTGGGCAGGTGGATGGAAAAAAAAGAGTAAAAGGAAATGAATGAATGGAAAAAAAGGAAAGAATAAATAAAGGATAACAGGAAAGGAAGGAGGGGAAATGAATAATGGAATGAAGAACAGAAAGAACAGATGAACAAAATTAAAAAATTAAGGAAGGATAAAAAAATGGAAGATTGACTGAACTGAATATATGAATGAGCAAATGAATATAAATGAATAGAGGAATGTAGAAAAGACTGAAACACAGGCTCCAGAGTCAAATCACTGAGGGTGCTTCTTAAATTAGTGAGGGTGGTCTCTCTCTCTCTCTCTCTCTCTCTCTCTCTCTCTCTCGCTATATATGTATATATATATATATACAGTATTTGTGCCGTCCATTGCTATGGTGCAAGAGCGTTCCCTTTATAATCATTAAAGGCTGTCACTCATCTTAGTTCATCACAATCTCAAAAAGGTTAAGTTCTCTACGCTGCACAATGAATCTCTTATTTACATCGTGTCTACACTTTGTTATAATGAGATGATTCGTGCTGAACACAACACCTGAACAAAAACTGCAGCGATTTGAGTGGTGAGTGGATTCTAACTTAAACGCCTCTGACTGTCTGTTGTGTTCAAGAAATCAACAGATATGTCTGTGATTGGCTACATTGCTCAACGCTGCAAAAGATGTTGAAATAGAAACCGATCTCCAGAGAGCAAACCATAACACACTGGATAGTTAGCCAAATCTGCAATGAAATGCCATTATTACAGCATTAACTGAGGGTGCTATTGATCTGTTTTGAGGGTGCTTAGCACCTTCTAGCACCCCCGTAGAACTGGGCCTGCTGAAACAATGAATAAAGGACAGATGGATGGAAAGAAGGAAGGAGTGAATGAATAATGAAAAGAAGGAATGAGGACAGGAGGAGGAATAAATTATGGTAGGAAAGAGAACAGATAAAAGAATAAATTATGGAAGGAGGGATAAAATCAATAAAGAAGAAGGGAATAGGAATGAATGAAGCATAGGACTAAACCAATGAATAAATGATGGGTAGATGGAAAGAAAAAAGGAGTGAGTGAAGGAACAAACAAATGAATGGAAGGAAAGATAGAATGGGTGAATATGAGTAAATGAAGGATTAAAAAAGAATGAAATAATAAAAGGAAGGAATGACTAAACCAACAAATGAACAACTGTAATATGTAAAGAATAAGAAAACAGGAATGAACAAATCAATTAATGAATGAATGAATGATTCAACCATTAAAAAAGAAAAAGACAAAATGAATAGAGGCATAAATGAAGGAAGGAAGGACTGAATCGATCAAAGAGTGATGGAATGAAGTAAGTAAGAACGTTCAGATGTTTCTTGTGTCTGTGCTCGCAGGAAACAGAGATCCTGAACACCGCAGTGCTGAACGGGAAGACGGTGGCGGTGCCGGTGAAGGTGGTGACGGTGGGCACAGACGGGATGATTACAGACGTGTCAGACGCTGTGCAGTGCCAGTCCACTGATGAAGACGTGGTTAAGGTCAGTCCTCTGAGTGATTGTTCCTGCCTCCTTCAATCATAATGATTCACTCGAATGAACAAACAAACCAAAGCATGTTGTGTCATGTTGACTTTTAATCAATATGATAGGATTCAAATGAAGCTCACAATAAATTTCATTCATTTCTAATGAGGTTTTTCCAATGATTAATGGAGGTGATAATTATTCATCATGTCGGGATTCTTATTAGAATTGGAACAAATGCTTCAAGAATCAATCTGAACTTGAACGGATCTGTTGGAAAGTTCTTTTCAAAGAAAATGCATCTCAATGACAGTCCTCAGTCATCCGTCCTCCTCCATCTGTCTGTTCTCACTCTGACACTTGTTTAATAGAGATCCATTTCTCTATTTCTATATCAGCATGTTACAACAAGCTGGCAAGATGCCATGTGTTGTCCCTTGTGAAAAAGAAGTATACTTAAGCAAAACGAGTACTTATTACAGAAGTCATATACAGTAAGTGTGAACTGAATGTAATGTTTTGGACACTCAGGAATAGTTCACACAAATTTGGAAATTTGCTGACAATTTACTCAATTTGTAGACGAGTTTGTTTCTTCATTGGAACAGATTTGGAGAAATTTAGCATTGCATCACTTGCTCACCAGTGAATAGGTGCCGTCAGAATGAGAGTCCAAACAGCTGATAAAAACATCACAGTAATTAAAAATTACTCCACACCACTCCAGTCCATCAATTAACGTCTTGTAAATCAAAAAGCTGCATGTTTGTATGAAACAAATCCATTATTAAGGCGTTTTAACTTTAAACCATTGTCTTGTGATTCAGACAAGACCATTTTTTTTCACTGGTGAAAGCAATATTATGGATAGATGACTCATATTTTAGCCTGAAACCAAAAACTTCTTGATGGATTTGTTTATTACAAACACACAGCTTTTCACTTCACAAGACAATAATTGATGGACTGCAGTAGTGCGGACTAGACTGGAGTCGTGTGGATTATTGTGATGTTTTTATCAGCAGTTTGGACTCCCATTCTTACGGCACCCATTCACAAGATTTGAAGTACACTGCAAGTGCACATTGAATACAGTTAAGCACACTTTTTATTCACAAGAGTTCCACTTTTTGATTTCTAAAATGTCTATATATTTTTTTTATAATTCTTGTCTTTTTGGGTCTCTTTCAAATGCCTCCAGCTGGAGCTCGGTCACATATGAGCTCAGATTCAATCATAGCGTATATAATTATGATATGTTTGATTACGCATGAGACGAAATCTGCTGAAGCTTGTTTCTTAACCAGACTGGATTGTATGATTTTTTTTCTAGAGATGGTAATTTGTGTTTGACAGGCCTATTAAGTTGAGGTTGTTTAGACATGAAATTCTCTAATTTTAAATGACCCAAAAGACTTACGCAATCAGCTTTCACTGGGATTGATTTAATGCCGACGACATTCGTAAGAATGTTTTTAATTGCTAATTTCAGTGTATTTCTTCACAGTTAAAAACACAGCTGTGCTTCAGCTAAAACTCCCTCTTAAAATCATTAAAGGCTTTGGTCATATGCAAATGATCAAAACGTTGTATATGTTTACATAGACTGCAATAATCCAACGTTGGGCCTAACATTTCATTCATATTCATGAGTAAAAGTTTTAGCTTATCCCAGTTCATACTGTAACTATAGATGTGCAAATTACTTTGGATATGTTGTGAAAATGGAATATGTGCAGTTATTACCTTAAGGAGCTATTTCTCTTTTATATGTTCCTTTAAATGACTTCCGTTGGCTAATCTAATGTAGTCAGGCTGATTCACACATTAAATAACCAGCTAATAAAACCAGCTAATTTAGATGTCACCTCATGAAGCACATATTTAGCCTGCAGTCAGAGTGTCCCTCCACTTTAAAACTTAACTTTGAACTGTTAACTTTATCAAAGACGGGGGAGTGTTTGTAAAACCAGTCATTATTTAGTGATGCTTGAGGTACAGAAATTACATACTGCAGCTTCAGAGTATCTTCTTTCTGTGGCCTGACTAGAACAGTGCAGGGCAATGCATGATTCATCACCTGCTCTGTAAAAATCCTACAGTAAAAAAAAAATAAAAAACTTGGTTGGCCCCAGTTTGCTATCCCATAATACCTTTTTTTTTTAGATGTAAATGGAAAAATATGTTTTTTTTTAATGTGGTTTTCTTTGATTTTTGTCTAAACCTTTGCTATTGTGTAGATTTTTCATCTTATATGAAAACCTACACACAATCATCTTCAGCCCAGAGTCCTAATTTCAACAAATTATTTTAGTAGTTCACTTACTTTTAGAATAACAACATGCTATGGAATCTGAGGCATATAATAAAGTTTTGCAATTATTCAATCAAACCTTAGCTGACCATGTGAAAATATCTCTGAAATATGAGCAGAATGACAAATCATTTTAACTGATGGGGATTAATGTTACAGGAAGTATACAAGTGTGGCATTGTAGCTAAATAATGTATGACGTACACACTAATGGATCTGCTTGGATCACAATCACAATGTAGTGGGTTAGAAAGATAACCATTTTGATATGAATTTTCTATTTCCTTGGAGACTGATGCTCTGTGTGCTTTTAAAAGAACTATGTAATAAAAGAAGGAACAATGTAATAAGGAGTGTGGAAGATTGGAAAATATTTTGTTTCTCCAGAGAATTAGAGTGAAAAAAAGCAATTTTCTTCCTATATCATGACCACCAATTTGGATATTGCATCATTATGTACAGTTTGGATAATTTTCTCCCATTTAATTTAATACAGAAACCCATCAGCCTGCCTATAGCCACAACAATACATAGTTAAAGAAAATAAATGTAATGCATAATAGACTAAATTACACAATCTCTTTAGCTCAAGCGGCAGTGCCAAAATGCTGAATAGCTATACTGTGCTGCACTATATCATGTTCTTACATGCTAAATAGAAAACATTAGCATTTTTATCTTTATTAATGATTTAGCAGTGCTACAATTGGTGAAAGCACACTAGTTATGCATTCGTGCATTCTAAAATACTTACAGGAGAGCTTTATTTAAAATAAATAAATTGTGAAGCAGTTGCTTGCTGACATGAGGTCCCAGATTCTGCATGTTTCCAGACTTGCTGTTGGCTTTGTTTGATCTGTTTTTCTGATGTAACCTGCTTGAGTAGCAGTCTGTGTCTGTAGTTACTAGCCACACAACTCAATATGTCTGAAGTGCAGACTGTAAATACATCTCTTCTGATTTTGTCACAAATTGTGAGAACGTTGGCAAGTAAGGTCATTCTGACATCAACTTCAAATCAAAGCGCCTGAAGTTCTTTCAATCTGGTTACAAACAGCTGGATCAATTTCCAACTTCTGAGAACTTCAAGAGCATATAAGAGTGTTTGATAGTTGACCTTGATTAAAGTATGTAATTCTCACTCATCATATTTCAGTTTTGAAATCCCTCGAAGCTATGTGCACTTGACATTTGTACATGTACAAAGAAGAGCACTTTCCTACACATCCAAAACACAATGTCTTCAGAGTAGTTGCTTTTTTTTCTGCCATTTTTCTTCCTAATAGCCTTAAAATGTTTTCCTCATTTTTTATTTTCCTTTTTATCTTTTTTTTTCCTTAATGTAATTGATCTAATATTGCTTATTTAAAAAAAATTATGAAATAAAAAAAACAAAATTGTCCGCACACTGAAAGACAAACAATTAGACCAAGGCAAAGGTTATTTAATTTAACATCTTCAAAGTGAAAAAAGTGCAAAAAAAAGTGAAAAGTGACTTAAAAACGGACCAGTTTTTTGATGCAAAAAATAAATAAAAACAATAAAATAATCAATTTACTGTGACACTTCATAAAAAGTCAACTGGCCAGTAAAGCTATTTTATTTACCTTTTCTTAATATTCATCACATTTGGTGCTTGGTAAAAGTTAACTTTGGATCCTCTTTACTTGGTTGTATGATATTCAGAACAATACTGTATGTTGGGGTTGGTGAGATTTTTTTAAATATTTTTGAAAGAAGTCTCTTATGCTCAGCAAGGCTGCATTTATTTGATCAATATTACAGTAAAATCTGTAATTTTCTTAAATATTATTACCGTTTTAAATTGCTTATTATTATCAGTGCTGAAAACAGTTGTGCTGCTTAGTATTTTGTGGAAGCCATGGTACATTTTCTTTAAGTTTTTAAGAAAGTTCAAAAGAACAGTGTTTATTGGGGATTTTTTGTAACAATCGAAGTCTTACTGTCACTTTTGATCAATTTAATGCATACTTCCTGAAAAAAAGTATTAATTCTTACAGACCCCAAACCCTTGAATGGATTTTATATATATATATATATATATCTTTAGCATAATATTAATATTTTTTTCTAACATTTGTTCTTTGTGAACCATTTTTCTGCTTGTTTAATTCACTTTATTAGATGAGCTAATGCAACACTTTCAATTCCTAAAGTTTTTGTCACATCACTTGTAATTGCATGCAATCCGCTTGAACGTGTTAAATGGAAGTTTACTCACTTTAATTGTGTTGGGACTATGTGAATAGATTTTGGCATTAACTGAACCTGGGCATGGGATTTCAAGTTCCCAGTATGCTCTGCATGAGGAGTAAATCTTAAAATGATGTAATTATTCTAGGTGTTTTTGAGCAAGATGAGAAAAGGGAGAGACTTTTTTGCACTTAATGTTTAATGTTCCGTTATGTTGGATTTGAGAAGTTTCTGTCATGTTGGAGTTTGGGGAGTTAATGTGGTTAAAACTGGAGCCTGTGTTCAAAGAAGGGTGGATCGATGGTGCTTTTTTAATGAGAAATTACTTTTTGATAGTTTTCTTCTTGTGATGTATGTTGCATACCTGTATATTTCGTGGTATTGAAGGTATCCCAACTTCAATACCGCGACTGAGGTGCCCTTGAGCAAGGCACCGAACCTCCAACTGCTCCCCGGGCGCCGCAGCATAAATGGCTGCCCACTGCTC